GAACATGGATCCAATATTTCCAAATGTTCGTCACCTCTACCCGGCTGAAAGTATCGAGCTTGTTAGAAGCTGAAAGCGAAAGCCCAATCGTGGTGACAAAATACAGTCACCGAGGTATGGACTAACCCTTATGGGTGGACAAGCTGGCTGCTTCACAGAAAAGACCCGTTGGTGACTGATGGTCACAGGAATGCAGATAAATACCTAATCTTGTAAAAAAACCGTGATGTGCGACAAGGAATATTTAACTCAGTAGCACTTTAGATATGAACGGTTGAAGGCAGGAAAAATGAGCGGGGGTGTAGCCTTTGTGGTCGACGATGATTTCCAATACGTGTAAAAACAGCGAAAGGCTGATTTCTGGTCGTGAGGTTGTTGTTCTTCTTACTAAGCTTGTTCGCATATATTTCGTACCATACAGGGGTACGTAGTCGGTGCGCTGCTGAGCGCCAAAACACATCAACGGCCACCGGGTTGATAGCGAATAATGGACCATTCAGTTTATCAACATATGGGCATGTATTCAGTAATAGAGCTTTATTTGAATTCAAGCGGAGCTTAACTTGTTAAGTTTGTAAATCACTGCTCCCCGGTTAGTTAGTTTTTTGTGGGCCTAGATGGAACACTGTTGTGGGTTTACAAATCTCGGCGATTTGTTCAAGGGGCTACTGAAAAAAGTCGAGAAATCGCTCTCTGAACAGTGATCATTTCATTATCGTGCTACACTTTTCATGTCCCGCATTCGTTATATTCGATTTTTTGATTGTCCTGCACCACAAAAATGTTTCTTTGTCCTTATAAAATGTTCCCATGTTTCTATATCTGCCTCTTGAAATTGGGAACGCTTGATCACAGTCGACTTATTAAATGGATCCCAAATCTCTAGCGCTGCCTATTGCGAAGTCTCTGCTAGCAATGGTCAAAAAGGTCACTGATTTGAAGCACGCCCAAATTATTTTCCACAAAATTATAGGGTTTTTAAAGCTTTTACTTCAACGGAGCTTTAGCCCAATTTAGTTGCACCGTTCAGTGCTATATCGCTCGCAACATTTTGCTTAGGTGAACGAAATTTCAAGGTCACGAACCACCGCCAATTCTCCTTCTTTACTGTGTAACGCATTTGAAACTCGAATGTATCTGCTTGCCCGTTTCTCATATGACCTTATACGTGCCCCTCCCTTTCTCTCTTCCCCCATTGCAGGTACCACGGACGAATCACCACGGGCCCTGGACAGGGAAGAGTACCCCGCTTGTACACCCCCTAACTGACCTTGACCCGACCCTGTACACACCCCCCGCTTCCGGTTTCGGTTTCGCTCAATACACGTGTCGTTACCACACTCCGGCCTTCTCCCTTGTTCCACCCGACCTGTGCGCATGTGTGCTGTGTATACTGTGTGGATTCATTAATACCAGTCCGTATATCTGCACATTTCAGAACTGACGTGTGCCGTCCTCTCGAACGTCGAATACCGCTGACTTCCTGACATCCCACGCTACAACTGGTTTACGAGAGATGGGACGTGCGATCGACTTTGGCCTATTTCGATCTTCTTCGGTATGCTTCTGGGCGAAATAAAATATGCAGAATACCCGATGCGAACTCCATCCCGGAAAATGGACCAGTGACCTTTGTTTGCTTTCTACTCCTCGTATTTAATAAATGAGAATTTTATTCAGCGAAATTCGACACCACACATTTTTAGATAGACCTCACCTTCCAGGTAGAGAGCTGTTATACAGCCGCATGAATTGTGCAGTGGCAATGCGAAGGACATCTCTGATCTTCTCTCTCAGATATGCATTACTAGACTGTAGACAATGCAGCGTCACGGGATGGCTGCAGATAAATTAACATAGTGATATTTTTCGTATTATAAATATTATGTCATATAGGTGAAATATGTCACAAAGCACAAATATAATGATGGCAAGTAAGGGCGTCCATTGCCAGTGGCCCTTCTTACTCACTTCGCTAATTATCGTAACTGCTGGGTCCGTGTCTATGTGTGACGCTGACGGACGTCATACTCATAACTTTACGCGATACCTATAGTGAACACCAAGTCAGCATCTATGCGGGCTGGTAAAAATAAGGCCTCCACTATGAGTGTTGGTCTGTTACACTCATAACTGTACTTGAAGTCGCCTAACTTGGCTATTTATCGTACCCGTTAGGTCCGTGTCCATGTGAAGCGTTAGTTGTGAGGCGCTGATTATGCGCGGTAACCGAATTCAATCTACTTCGTCATACTCATACTGCGCGTGGTGTCGTTTGTCCGGTATTTATGCAAACCGATGAAGACTAGGCCTCAACCATGCACACAAAAGTAATTTGACGGCGAACGGTGAACGTCATACTCATAACTGTACGTGATATTGCCTACCCTGGTTACTGTTTGTAACCGATAGGCTAGTGCCTATATGCATGGTATCCTAATCTATCGGCCAACAACTACCCGTCATACCTATAACTGTGCGCGCTGTCGCTTATGTCTGTTACATATAGTAAACAGGAGGCCAGTATCTATGCGGACCGATAAAAACGAGGCATCAGTTATGCGTGATATCCTAATCTAACGGTCAGGACGGCCCATTGAGCTCATAACTGTAGTTGATGTCACCTACCGTGGCTAATTATAGTAACTGCCTGGCCAGTACATATGCTCATAGCTGACTATAATGTCTCAGCTATACATAACAGACTAATCCGACGACCAATGGCGGACCTCATCTGTGAAACTACAATCAGAACTACTACAACTTCGAGTGTACATAAAACGATGCACAAATTCGTATGCCTTTCTTTGGACTGTAAGTGGTGGTTTCAGCGATTGCATGTCCAGGAGCAGTTCTTCGGGGACTGGTGACCACATCTCTTACAACCACTTTTTCTCCTGGATTATGTTACTGTCCAAATCATCTAATAAATTCCAAATAAAATAGTCCATCATCTCGGAATTTCTACTCCCGTCAATAGTTATGTTTAATCTCCCTAATCACCACATCTCTCTGCGTGTTCATGCCAGGTTGCTCTAGATCTCTTGTACTATATCATGTATTAGCAAAACCAACTTGTACTTGAACGCTTGTCTACTAAGTACAACTCTAAACACATCCTGTCTCATTTAATCACTCTTTGTTACCAATCTAATCGCGGTAGGTTCCAAGTTTTTCCTCAGTATTAATGCACTTCATCCAATTGTCCTGTTTGACTGTTATCCACTCCACCTGGCTTGTGGTCTACATCTATAGCGATCGCCAACCGAACCAGAAAAATACCTGGTATCTTGCAACGGCTTCGTTCCATCTCTGCGGATTCCCTTAGTCAGGGCTGTCCAGAAACCGAAGTATGTCAGTGCAATCATGGCACGGAACTGCCGTACCCAGTTTGATGGTATACCCACAACTATTCACTTCCTACTCTTGACTGTACACTCTCGCCCACTCGTTCCATTACCTTAAACTAGGAACAAACTCATGCTAGGGATATGACATTCCGTAAGTGGAATAGTAACTTCAGCCGTTGTCACTCACCTCGACTAATTATCGCAACTGCTAGGCCCGTGTCTATGTGCGACGCTGATTATGAGGCCTCAACTATGCACTGTAACATAAAGGAAACTACTCACAACTACAGTGCAGATCACTGACGTTGGCGGGTGTGCGTTGGTTCGGTCTTTACAAGTTGACACTGACGCAACACCTTGGTGAGTGTGAGTAACAACCATGCTGACAAACATCAGTCACGGTGTCAGTAAATGAAGCCTGTCAATGGCATCAGATTAACCCGTTGTATCAAATGGTGTATGAGTCAGTGGGGCGAGATATCTCAGTTTAGTGTCCTTGGCTAGTACCAAGCTTTGCTTTTCAAGAACAGACAACACCTCCTATTAGGGGGGTCAGAAGACGTCCATGAGATAGCTCACTGAGCATTCTCGTAAGAAAGATGCTATTGGGAATCCAGGAACTTCCTAATCCAAATGTGTTCAGCGATCCTGGAGAATGGCCTGATCAAATAGTTGGGGAAAATGCACCTATCGTGCCAGACTCCGTTCTTCTGAGTTGTCACACATTAACCTGGGAAATCGACTAAAGTTATCACAAGCCTGGAGGTCGGTCAAGCTATAGGCAAAGCCGTCCAAACTAACGGCGCTCGTGACCTTGAACGAAAACGTCTGGCGTTGTCAGGATGGGTTGCCGACACCTTCCGCCGTCGAGTGCAAGGATTCTGAAATAATAAAGACTTGAAACCTGGTCACTAGAGAGAGAGCCATAGACGGGGGGAGGGAGGGGGCAATCTCCCGACCGTTATATTTTCCACGGGTGCACAAACACTTCTGAGGCATACAGGAGACTTCGCAACCACCGAGTGACTTATTTGCCCTAGCCCAGGTAGAAACATTGCGATGGTATCCTCATCGTTTATGCCTAGTTTGTAACATGGACTTTGTAAATAAAATACCTCCACCCCCCATCAAATTACTGAAACCCCTAGGAACTGGACTTTCAATTCCCAACGAAAAATCATGGGGACAATAGCTTCCAGAAATCAACCACCGTTAGACCTGTCCGCCACAGCAGGTGACTGAACCCAATGATTTGATGGGACAAGGTTGCAAAACTGACTGACAGTGGTCAAGTCGGAGAAAAACGATGCGTGATAACTGAACGCGCACCGATCGCCCAATCAGGGGGCACATTCCCGTGAGAGACTATTTCCTCGCTCGGGGAGAAACACGCCTATCAAGCGAGAGGCGACATGAAATCCGCTGTCCGTGCCCTCCCGTCTAGTTTACCGTACAGTGCAGTTACCAACCGAAAAAAATCGTCCAATTATTGAGCGATCGTCCTTACACTGCAAGCGTTTGAGAAACGCCCCATACAGTTTCCAACGGACGACGCTGCTGCACACAAGCGTACACAAACTGTATGTTCAGCTCCTACTACATTGTTCGTTAAGAACCGTCCAGATGGGTAAAGGAACTGACACAAATCAGACGCGCAGGAAGTGTAGTAATCAAGAAAGACCTCAAAATGCCAAAAAGGGGCTGGCCGGAAGCCTTAAAGTTTGGACTGTTTCTTCTTCTTTTTGTTTCCAGTCCGAGGTTTAGTCAAATGTGCAGTACCCCGACTCGGTTTCAGTCCATGCTCTGCTTTCGGACGATGCCAGCTCCGTGTGGGCACCTGGTGATCTGACCGGATACCCATGCGTGCTGATCGGCTGGTCACATCATGAAGTGGAAAAGCAGAGAAGCCGCTGTTGTCTAGTTCTTGGCATAATTCATCCAAATCACACAGGTCTTCCAACATCCCATTCGTGGCGATTGGTTGGACATCCGGGTGTTTCTGCTTCGCGGGCCGACGATCAGGTAAACGTTGATCAGGGCAATAGATAGGTTCGTCCGCATATTTCCCTCCTCGTGGTTTTCGAATCGGTTGCTACGGGTAGGGGGAGATTACAGGAGAAGGGATGACATTGGGAATAATATAGCGAGAGTGCGGTGAGCAAACTTTGAAGAAACTAGGTGGCAATACATCATCATCATCATCATCGACAGCATGACATCAGTGTTCAACACTGATGCTTCACTGCCGTACAACCATGATTTATTTGAAAGCCTTATTGTAAAGAAAAGAATAGAGGTGGACGGGGAAGGGACTTAGTTCTAGCTTACCACAATCATTCTGAGGTGTCCATACCTCCAGACATTCACTCAGGCGATCTGAATAGAAACTGACAACAAGAACGCAACTGACATCGGTTGGCAGCTATATCTTGTAGTGTCTCCAAGCAGGCACAGTGAGGATCACGCGGTCCCCATCCTGGAAGGCGAGTAGCACCGACAGCACCCAAACGTTTCGTGAT